CTTATTTACATTGAACCTTATAGGGAAATTTGATTCGGTTCGCGACCAATTCGGTTCGTGACCAGAATCGTGGAACACATTAACTTCGTGAACCGAGGTACCACTGTATTAGGAAGAGACTCCTGACTCCCTGGGGTATAAGACGGAGGGGAGGAAAAACACAACCCAATTTGCAAGATTCTCTTACCATAGCCCAGTGTTCCTCAACCTTGGCAACTTTAAGCTGTGCGGACTTCAACTCACAGAATTCCCCAGCCAGCCATGCTGGCTGGGGAATTCTGGGAATTGAAGTCCGCACAGCTTAAAGTTGCCATGGTTGACAAACACTGCTATAGCCTATCTCAATAAAGCTTAGTTCTAATCTGCTTGTGGAGTTGGTTTCCCAGTCTGGATAAACTTGAAGAGTTGATATCAAATGAGCTGATCATCAAATATCAAATAAGAACGGTGGCACAAAGTCCATATTTGCTGTCGTGTTCTGAATCAAGAGAATGAGCATGAACTATCAGTTCCAGATGTGAAGTCCCTTCAGTTAGGGTTTCAATAGGAGACTTCACATATCCTCCCCATCTGTAAACTGTACCTCCCAAGTCTTTTTAAAAAGTACTACCCATATATTATTATTCCTCTCCTTTATAACACATGGTACACCCCGCAAAAAAAAAGATTTGCCAGTCTGCATTCAGAAATGCACAGAGATCATTTTCATTACTGTCTCATTCAATCTTTTGCAATAATTTCTCATGCCCAAAGAGCTTTGCTTTCATTAATGTAGCATATGGGAGCTTCATACTTACAACTGTCTTCCCTTCTTCCTTCTTTGCCAAGTGCTTATCTTTAAAACAAAACAAAGGCATTAATTTGGAAGAGTAACTGGTGCTGGCAATAAGTTGAAATATTAGTGGTACTACAAAGGGCAATATAGTATAAATTGGATCTCCTAAAATGGTGTCTTTTGATCTGGGAGGTACAAACCCAACACATTTAGAAGGTGTTAAACTGGAGGAGGTTAGAGTCTCCGGCTAAAGAAAATCTGCTTCAGATCCTCATTAGATGACACTGTAGGAGGAGAGCCACGTTAGTCTGTGGTGGCAAAAAATCAGAAGGAATCTGGTAGCACCTTTTCCAACTAACAAATTGCTGTGCAAAAGCTTATGCGTTTTAACAAAATGTGTTAGAATAGGTGCCACCAGTCTCCTGATCATTTAGTTAAGAAACTCACTGGCTGAATTTAACATGAGTCACTAACAAGTTTCACACACCACAGGAAGCCAAACTGTGGCTTGGTTTGAGCTCAACTTATTGTTCAAGTGGCTCTATGATAATTTGCAAACGACTGTATAGTTTATGGTTTAGTACTATGTATGACCTGCTTAGCCTAACCTAGCACACTGGACTGCTTCAAAAATAGAACACAGAGAGATCACATAAATTGCCCCAAGCTCCATGGGGAAAATAATATAGGGTATAAATATAACAAAATAACCTTTGCTTGTAGTTTTCAATGCTTAGGGTGCAACACTTTTGGGTCTGTAGCAAAAAGGACATAGCACAAGCACAAGGAAGGTGTTAAGAGCAATTCTGAGGTTCAGAAAAGTGTAAATCTCTGGGGCAAAGCCCTAAATGCAGAGTAACTGAAATTTGCAGTATAGCTACAGAATGCAACTTAGGGAGCAGGAAGAGATGTAAAATCAAGGAGAGAGGTTTATATATGGTGATTGCAGCAAGGCTATTATATGCACAAATATGGAAGATTACAGAAACACCAATAATGGAGGAATAGGTTGTGAAAATGGCTGAGCGTGCAGAAATGGCTAAATTGACTTGTTTGATTAAGGAGGGAACTACAGCTACTTTTATAAAAGACTAGAAATCCTTTATGGACTTTTTGTTGAAAACGGATAAAAAATGAACTGGTGATTTCAGGATTTATTGATTAAAAAGCTTGGTTTATGGGAAGAAGGGAACGATGATATGCAATATGAAAGGGTGGAGATGGTAATTGCTGTGTTTGCAACTGCTGCGCAGATCGGAAGTCACGTTAGACATCTTTTTCTTTCTTTTTTGTTATCTTTATAATTTCTTTCTTTTTCTACTTCTTCTATGTTTCTGTAGTTTTCTAAATCTTTGTGAAATCTTCTTTTAATAAAAAATATTCAAAAAAATCAGGGAAAGAGGAAAGGAGGTTGAACAGCCTTGCTGGAATCCTGATCAATAGTATCCTCACTGCAGAATTTAACTGCAGGGCCTGCAATCAATGTGACTTAATTTGTTCCTTGCAAGTTCCACGCATCACACTACGCCATTAAATGGTTTGGTTGGTAAACAGGATGTGCAACCCTAGCCAGTGCAAACTATAGTTCAAAGGTATGGTAGCAAAATGGGCCAAAAAAAAAAAAGTCAAACATCTTTGCCTTTCTGGGTAAAGAGAAAAGGAAGGCAAAGGCTAGTGTGAACGCAGGTGCCACCAAACATACTTGCACAGCACTCGATCCTCCCCAGATCGGATGCAGACACAGGAAACGCTGTGGCACAGGAAGGATGTGGGAAAGGCCAAGACTACAACAGGACCTGGAGTCCTTTGCATCAGAGCAAGGCCTTCTGGGATCACTGGCATATTTACCCAGGAAACAAGAATAGCAAAAATTACAGATTAGACCAATTTCTCAACCTTGGCAACTTTAAGCGGAGTGGACTTCAACTCCCAGAATTCCCCAGCCAGC